GTGTATATATATATATATATATATATATATATATATATATATATATATATATATATATATGTGTGTGTATATATAGTCAAATCATTTCATAATAATAATATGCATCCGCAGGATGATGCCCTCACGGAAAATACTGTTCTTCACTTGAAGTAGAAAGAATTATTAGCAAGACAAAAGCTTAGTACAATTTGTTAGAAGATAAGACATAAGAAACATCTAGTTGATTATTTTAAATTTTGTCATAAATAAAATAAAAATAAATAGTTATATACTTCGTTCAAGAGTAAAATATAAAATTAGTACATAGATATATTGCTATGATATTATCATAATATATAGATGAATGATCAATGTAATAAATAGTTTAAGCAATAATTGAATCTGACAAAGTTCAACGATTTTAGAAGTAACTGCTGGATATTTAATTTCACTAAAAGATCTTACAATATAACGTTGTCTCTTGGAACTCCAAAAAAATTGGATTATAACTAAGAAATGTGATATAAGTATTAGTAGAAATCTTGTCATCCTTATTACTTGTCTGACATTTGAAAAATATATAGAACAATATGGGAGAGTCATTTTAAAGAAATAAACTATGATCAATAGTATCCTTTAAATAACAAAGAAGAAAGGTTGTCCATGGTTGAAAGTATGCTGGTGCATAAATTGAGATAATTTGTGCACAAGCATAAATTATGATGAATGACATACAACTTGATGATACTCAATCGTGTCACTAACAATTACATTATCAGATAAGATAAAAAAAAACTTGTAGAGATTGACATAACAATAGTATTAGCTTCAATCATTTTGATGGGATCAAGAAGATAACGAATATACTTTTGTTGAGAAAAAAATAGACTATTTGTCATGTGGATAAGAAAATGACTAAAAGAACCAAGATCTTTAATTAAAAAATTATTTCCAAGCCGTTGAATAAATTAATTAATCATTATTATATTATTATCAGTAATAATTAAGTCATCCACATAAATTAGTAAAAATATAATTATACTCTCATAATAATAAATGAATAATAAATTATCAGGTTGAGAATTATGAAATTTAACAAAAATTAGATATACTCAAAATTTATGATACAAAGTACGGGGGACCTACTTAAGATCATAAAGAGTCTAACTTGTTGAGGAAAATCATGATCAATAATGTTTAGATGTTATCTCATAAATACATCATAAAAAATATGATCATGAAAAAATACATTATTCATGTCTAACTATCAAAATCCCCGATTATTAGATAAGGTAAAACATAAAATAATATGAATTATTGTTGGCTTTACAATTGGGTTGAAAGTGTCATGGTACTCAATGTCTGGACATTGATGAAATCCTTTTGCAATAAGTCTTGCTTTATATATATTAATTTACACTTTATAAGATTTTGGCACGATGAGATGAGATTAAGTCCCATGCATCATTTTATAATAAAATATTATATTCTTTAGACATTGTTACTCACCATTCAAAAATTTTTAAGATTTAGATTAATAGTAGAAGGTTCAAAAATAATTTTTTGGGGATGTTTTATGAAAATAAAAAATATTTCTTTAGTTTAAAAACTTAATTTTTGGATCTAGCAACCATTATATGAATTGATTTAGTTAAAAAAATTTTAAAATAGAGGACATTGAAACTAAATCTTATTATGAATTCTCTTAATGTGTGATACTCTCATGAGATAGCTAGATAGATAAGGTAATTTGTTATTTGGATTTGGTAGATTCCTAGTGGATCAATTATTTGGATTGATGGATGTGGTTGATATTTCAACATAAATGAGAATAATAATATAAGATAGCTCATGAATTTCGAGGACCTAATCAATAAAGTTATTGAAAGTTACTTTGGGTAAAAGAAAGTCAAGTGATTTATAAGAAAAATTAGATTTTATAAAATCAACATGGCAAAAAATAAAAATTATTTTGGTTGATAGATCAAAACATTTAAATGCACTTTTATTAGTAGAATATCTAAGAAAAACATATAGTTTTAATCGGGCTTTCAATTTGCTATGGGTGTAAGTTTTAACCATGAATAACATAGATACTAAAAAATATGTAATTTACTATAATTAGGAGTGGATTCAAAAAGTTTTAAAAATGGTGAAACCATATTGAGAACTAGAGTGAATAGGTTTGAATAAATAGTATAAGACTAATTTGAACGATGTGTTGATAAGGATATTCCATGATCCCATTATGTTTAAGAGTATATTGAGTGGCAAGAAAATGAGATATTATATTAGTTTTAAAAAAATTACGAAGCTTTTAAAATTTACTATCACTCTCAAAACAAAATTAAAATAATGAATAGCTAAAAAAAACTTTTCAATTATAAATTTGAATATAGAAAAAATAATGAATACTTCATACTTTTGCTTCATGAGAAAAAACTTTGTGAAATGATCAATAAAAATAAAATAGTAGTTAAATCCACCACAAGATTATAGTGAAGGACTTCAAACATCAAAATATGAGTTCAAGAGATGAATTATTCGTGAGAGATGATGTAGTAAAAGAAAGCTTATATATTTTATTATAGAATAAAAATAAGATAAAAAAATAAATAATATGATACAGAATCTTAAAAGAAGGATACCCTAAGCGATTATGTTATTTTTTAATATGAGCCTTGATGGTAGCCAAAACAAAGATGGATTTGAATAGAAATGATACGACAAGTGATCACTCATAAATTTTATCTCTTTAACTCCTCCATTAGATCTTTTATAACAAATAAAGATATTAGAATTCAATAGAAATATTATTAAAAAATATATTTTTTATATAGATATTAGGTCATTCTTCGTATCAAAAACACAAAGATACATGATAAAGTAAAAAAAAATTAAGAAAAGAAGGAAGGTTAATAGAACTATATTATCTTGATATCTTTACTATCACCTATCATAATAGCATCTGAACTATCATAATTTGAATAAAGAGGTAACCTATTCAAGTCAGATATACCATGATGAGAATCCCCATAATTAATAAGCCAGTTTGATTAATGTTAACAAAATTGAAGCATGCATCAATTGTAATGAAAATCAAGCAAGTGGTGTAATAGGATACATAGAAAAGGTAGGTACGAAGACTAAAACATCTATAGAATAACAGCTTACAAACAACGATATGTTTTAGCTGCATGAAATTACATGTCGACAGGTGACTTTGTTATTAAATTATTGCTCATATTTGTTGATCCTTTTATTATGGCATTATTATATGTTACCTCTATAATGATTGTTTAGATGTTTTTTTTTTGCTAGTTGTGAATCTTGTCTTTGTTGCTAAAATTTATATTTTTAATAAAATTGACAGTGATAGAAGCAGCATTAGATAGATGTAACTCTCGTTTAAGATAAGCTTCATAGTTAAAAAGTTTATCATAAAGTTTCTCAAAAGATATAAGACTATCATCAGCATGAATGGTAACCAATATATCTTTATAATATAAATCAAGACTATTTAATATATGAAAAATAATTTCTTAATCATTAAGAGTTGTATGGTGCAAAGTATATCTACTTAAGTTTTGATAACTTACATATAGTCATAATTAGTTTGTGTGCTCATACAAAGAATTTTTAAAGGTTACATAGGGAATGATTTAATGGGAGAGACAATTATAGCACTTATAAGAAGATGACTTTGATAGATCCGACAAATATGTTTAGGATTGATATCTTCAAAATTATTTTATTTAATTATTTGTAGAGAACAAATGATGATACTATTTACATAACTCATAAAATCATAAGCCAAGAAGAATAGTTTGAAAGGTAGAGAATAAAAGATATGAAACAACTTAAAATAAAAGAATGTTATTACAGCATAAAGCTCTAATAGAATGAAAAAAATTACTATCTTAATTTTTTATTGATAGTAAATATAAATTTATATACATAAATATTATAAAAATATGATAATTATATATATATATTTATTTTAAATTAATAATAAATATCATGATTCTTATTATTCGATAGAATAATAATAGTATATTAACATAATTTTATAATTTAAAATATAATAATATATTCTTAAAATATTAAAAGAATAATAATAATTTTATAATTTATTTATTTATAATAATATCCTTCCCGATAGCAAGCAACGAGAGGTGAGACCTTCGTGATCCTGCTCGTGTGGGTCCCAGCCACCTACTCCTCCACGTCGAATGTTCATCGGACTTATCTTGGCTCACGCGATCATCGTGATCCATCACGTGCGTCGGATCGCATTCGAACGGCTTCATTGTGATCCTTCGACTCGGGCCCCATCAATTAACCAGTCAAATCGCGGCCTTTCGGACAAACGTCCACCGAAGACCAAACTCTCGTACAAATTGAATGTTCTCCTCGACGAAGGAACAGACACGCGTACCAACGACTGACTCTCGAGTCGGAAACTGGGGAACGGGGCCCGCATGCCGCGAGGAGCCCACATCTTCATCACGCGGTGATTTGGTTGATGTCTGGATCTTGTCCAGGGTCGCCCCTCGTCGCGATTCCAACTGCCCATTTCCGGACCGAGCACCAATAACGGACCATGATGATCGTCCGATCAAACTGCGTCAGTACGATCCTTGGAGGGGATCTAACCTTACCGAATCCGAAGTTAGACGCGCCCCCGGAGACCTAATATACCCTCCTAAAGTTTTTCTTTCCTTCCCAAAATACCCCAACTCGGCTTATGCCTTTCCCTATTTCTTGCGCCGGTTTCTCTTCGCTTCGGAGTTAGGGTTCATTCATCGCTCCTCTCAATTCGAGTCGATATTGGCTTCAAGATTTCTCATTGAGCCCTTCTTCCGTAGATTTTTCTGTTTAATCGAACGAATCGTTGGCTTTTTCCGAATTCCCCTCTCAATTTTCATCAAAAGTAGTGTTTTTCCGCCAAATTTAGGCAGGTTTTTCATTTCGATCGAGGTTTCGTTGAAGAATTTAATCTCGGATCGGTGTTTGTTGCGGTTTATTGGCCTAAATTTTAGGGTAGACAAGGGTTTTGCAGAAGGAGATATGAGGGTTCATCCGGTCCCCAAGAAGCGGAACATCACCTTCCGCTGCGGCGTCAACCCCGCGGCTGCAGCCACCGCCGTGCACGGCCGACAGAAGAAGCTCCGCCGTCTCCCCCACATCTTCAGCAAGGTCCTGGAGTTACCCTTTGCCGCCGACGCCGATGTGGCCGTCGAGGAGGACGCGGACGGCTTCCGGTTCGTCGCAGCCACCGACGTCCTCTGGGGCGATGTCCAAGCCCAGACGGTCCAGATACACCCCGGGATGACGAAGGTGTTCGTCAGGGACGGTAGCGACGGCGACGACCTCGACACGGAGCTCGAGCTAAACCGGTGGCGGTTCCGGCTGCCGCCGTCCACCCGCCCGGCGCTCGCCACTGCTGCTTACACTAGCGGCGAGCTCGTGGTGACCATTCCAAAGGGGGCAGGGCCCGAGGAGGAAGATGGAGAGGTACAAGAATTCTTTGGTGGTGGAGGGAGTAACGGGGACTTGGGGGGCCGAGACATTAGCCATCTCGTAATTGTACAGTAAATGTTTGATGATTTGCCTTCTCTGTTATCGTTCGTTGATAGTACTCTCATATTACGGATCTGCTATGTAATTTATGCAACGCTTCTATTCATTTCAGTTTGTAGTCTTTCTGTTGATTAAACTTCATTTAGTTGTCGACATTCTTTTTTCCTTTGGATTCGGATCGAGAACTCGACTCGATCCGACCAGCTTTCTACTTTAGAGCAAGGGAAGATGATGAACCGATCGAAAAGAAGGTGCTTTCTTTATTAGAAGTCTAGAGATAATTGGCACCACCACAACTTAGCATTCTCCCACTCAGATCTCTACCAAAACTTGTGACCTCTCTTCCTTATCTAAGCTCACTAGGATTCTGCAAAACTAAGGAGGGATTCCGGTGAAGGCTGTCGCCCCCTTTCTGCTTCCCGCCGGCGCTCCGGACCGGGCAAGAACACGGACTCCGGCTGCGCGTGGAGGACCTCATCCACCTCCTCCGCGGGCACGCCGAAGGCCAGCTCCTTCGCCTCCCTGTCCAGTCTGTTCAGCACGTTGTTTCGCCCTGCAAGGTAGTAGTTCCTGTTCTGTGCTGCCCGAACGCCGAAGAAGAGGACCTCAAGGTTCTCGTTCCGCGCTGCGACGGCGGCCACGGGGTGACCTGCGGGGATCACGAACACCGACCCACGGGAGACTCGCGATCTCACGGTTCGGTAGAGGACGCGCTGCTGTGGTTCCGATTCCGTCGTCTCCTCGCTCCTGCGTGACTCGCCGGAGCGGCTGGGGCAGGCCATCTCAATGTAGCCTCGTCCTTGCACCACCATGGCCAGCTTGGTGGACAGGGAGTTGTAGTTCGGTGCCATCATCGATCTCTGCAAGGAAAGTGGCCGACGTTGTGCTTCATTAGTCACATATACAATGTAATGCAATAGCAGGCGACTGTGATCACCTCGCTGATATTGGCAATGGAGACATCCACATCGAGATCCTGGAGCTGCTGGTACTCATTGGCTCCGACCTCGTGGAGTTGCCCATGCTCATTAGAGTGCGAGGGTCGGTTTTGGAGCAGATTGTACGGCTCAGTTGACCGAGCTAAAGGCCAACCACCTTCACCGGTGGACTGACTCAACGCCCTCATCTGCTCTTCGGTCATCTTTATGAACTCCCCCCTCCTCTGTTTCTCAAATAGCCTCTCTAATTTCTCGCTCGGAGTCTACAGATAACATAAAGGGTTGTCTACCAATAAGTTCCAAGTCTTCAAGCGGGAAGAGAAGCCGATTAGGAAATGGAACGGGAAGCAGATCGGAACTGACATCGAATGCAGCTTCCAGTACTTCGTCGCTAAAGCTAGCGAAAAAGGTCTCCGGGTTCCTACCGGCTGCACCGTAGAATTCCTGCGTCCAACGGACCATCACCAAATGAGGCCTGCACACTGCAATGATAACCCGAAGAAGTGCAGCGGGTCGAATTCATCGTATACCTCAACGTGTCCGGGCGTTGAGATGGGGTGGAGGAGAATGGCGACGCGGAGCTTCTCATTTCTGGCTTTGTTGATCGCGTACACGATCGCCCCTGCCGGAATCCAAATGATGTCTCCTCTCTTGATATCGTGCGTCTCCCGGTTGTTCTCATGAAGCAATGTTATAGTCCCACGCCCTATGTTATGATCGCCGTAAGAACACAATACTCCGGAAGCTCCGTAAAGCTTAGAACAGAGCGTTGATTGTTACCTTCCATTACGTAGAAGACCTCTTCGGCGTCCCAATGTCTGGGCATGATAAACGTCTCCGGCTCCGCTTCCATCACGGCCAAGCGGTAGTTCTCGACGCCGACCAAGAGTTCGGATCTCCTAGCAAACCTCTCTAGCACCTCGAAACGGCCATGCTCCGATCTGCTCCACTGCTCGTAGCTCCGGTCGCCGAAGAAGTACGGGTTGCGCTCTCTTCTTCCACCCTCCGCCACCTCCCCATGCTCCCGCTCTCTTCCGGAATGATCCAAGCACTGGCGCACGCACTCTTTCCTCCTGCGCCCCTCCGGAGTGCCTCTGCATTCCATGTGGCAGCGCTTCTTCGCCCGATCGGATCCGTAGGTTGAAGCCAAGACACAGGAGGAGAGGAGCAGGAGAAGTGAGAAGAGGACTTGGACTGTTCTGGTGGCCATCGTGCTTCGGCTCCTGGTATTGCGAGAGAGACGGTGAGTGACACGGGGAAGGGAAAGGAAGGGGAGGGAGCATATATAGAGATTGAAGCGGGACGGTATCGCGTTGTGCGCAGTCGCATGCAGGGCGAGTTGACGTGGAGAGGAGATGGGATCGTCCATCACCGAGTCGTAGGCCACAAAAGTTGCGGAACCAACTCGATATTTTACGAGCACGAACAAGTATTCATTGATTGTGATCCGCAAGCGAGAGCCGACCGATGCATGTTTGATGAAAGGTACTTACTCCAATATATATATATATATATATATGCTCATAGATTAGATAAAATTTTTTTGAATAGTATCAGAAAGATATACAATCATAGTCTTGATCTATCAAATAAATAAAAGGTTTTTTGAATTAGCTCTGAGAGTTTTTACTTTAAGGGGAAGATAAAAATACTCTTTTTATAAATAAAAATATAATGATAAAGATTAAAAAGAATAATAATATAAATCGAAGAAGATTAAATGTTATGTCATATCAAGAAAAATTATCATGTTAAAATTAAAAAAATATATTATAAATAAAAAATTATTCTAATATTACTGATGAATATTGAGGTAAATGTTTTATGACTAACACGGTTGAAATCATGGCATCCAACAATTTCGATTGGATAGTTGATTCAGGATATGATCATCTTACTGGTAATAATATCAAATTCATTAATCTTAATAGGTAATGATGTATTTATCATGATAGATAATACTATTCACTAAATACAGAAGAAAGACACTTTCACAATCTCTATACATATAATGCTCCTGATGTATCAAAGAATGTGTACCATGTTCTAGCGGGAAGAAAAATATAGTTTCTATTGCAAATGCAGTTGTTGAAAATTATATATATATTATCCTAGTGAATTAGATAAGGTTAGCTATGATAAAGAAAGCTAGAGAATGTAAAAGATAAATTGAACAATAACATGGAAAAAATTCCTCACCAAATTCCCACAAAAAAAGAAAAACACTATTTCGATGAGCATCCGCATGCAACATTTATACAATTTGGCTGTTATAGATGGCATCATAGCAAATGCAAATATCAGCAGAAACAACAAACGATAGACTGCTTAAAATCGCTCAAAAGATATGCAGATAAAGAAGAACATCAATAGGAGAAGAAGAGGGAACCAAAAAATGCTAAGAAAGCTTGAGTTATGGTGCTTTCAAAAATGTGCCAAAAATACTTTAACTAATATAAAAGCTAAATTATTTGAATATTTAGAGAACATTTAAGAAAATGAGTATTTTGAAAATGGTTGTCCATTTAAGAAATAAAGATTTAAATAATTTGACCTATATATGAGTGTTGAGAAACTTTATGTCATGTTATCACGACTTGATATGATTCCGAGTGTGTAGAGCCGCCCATGTGGCTGCTCGAACTGGGATGGTCAACATCAAGTCGGGTCTAGACTTCATCTCCAAGGTAAAGCAAGGAGTTTCTTTTCCTCCCCTATTGGGTTGCTACTCATTCCTCGTTAAGTTTATGCACACGAGCTGAAGTCAAGAGGGGGATTTCCCAACTCGATCTCTCCGAAGCTTAAGTTAATGTTGAGTGATGTTAGGTGGAGTTTGAGTATTCAAAGTTCGACCCCTGATGCCGATCAGAAGGTTGACTTTTATACTTGTGAACAAAAGTTAGTTATACATGGTTTATTAATGGCCGTCGATTTCCCAAGCGATCGATTCGTACCTTTCGTGCAGGCACCGATCGACCTACATGGATCAGTGTCGTGAGGCACCATTCCAAGCTTTCCAAAGCGGTTCTGTACTATGCGACGTCGTCTTGTACGATCTCGAACAACATGAGAACAAGTGACCATCCTATCGAAGTCCAAGGTGTCACGTCGATATAGTGCATGAGAACATACGACATCGAACAACATGAGAACATATTAGCCTTAAGGCTGTTGGCACTGAAGTGACTGCTAACTATTATTGTGGAGGTGGTACCAGAATATGCTCTACCAATGAGTTAAGTTTTCAACATGGTTACAATGTTTTTGACACAGTTTTAAAAATATTATGACTATTATAAAACATTATAACAAAGAAAAATATATCAAAAAAAATATTTTAAAAAAATACTACAAACCTTGCTTATGTATCCTCATAAAAAATATTAAAAAAAATACTTTTCATTCCTATACCAGATATAAGTATCAACATTAAAAATACTCCGTAACAGTATGTTGGAGTCATAATATTTTTAGTAATACCAAGGAAACAATGTAACAGAGTATAAGGAAGGCAAAAACGTGGGTAGGTGACTATTTATCAAAATGATGGATGCAAATATGTATTTTTTTTCATTGTTAAAATTTATTTATATTTTTATCAAAAATTTACTCAAATAGTGAGTGTTGGGCAAAAAAAAGGTTAATAATTAACCTGGTATAAATAACTAAAAAGAATGTGTGTAGAACACAAAAACTTCAAGGAAAAATATTATTATTTTTAAATAATTGAGATAAAAGGCTATGGATTCACACCTAATTTTTTCTCTCTTTTTCAATAAAAAAAAACACGAGCTTCAAAAGGTTCCAAAGGTATTATGCCAAAGCATAAGCTTCCAAAGGAAAATATACAACAAATTTTACATGCCAAAATCTATTTATTTCACAACAACAATAACAATAACTTCATCATTCTTCCTTTGACATGGAAGCTAATTAAATAACCAAAAATTAATATGACCACATGAGTTCATAACCACGTAAAGAAACTTGGTTCACTCTCATTTCTTGGGACAGTTTCTTTGGGAGAATCCGACTCCGATGTGTCATCCTCGTTGTGGTCTTCTTCGATAAGCCGCATCCGATGTGCATTATTGCCAATCCATTTGATGACCTCAGGAGTTGACGCCCACTCGGTTAGGGCGGCGCTCGTTGACTGACGCGTGAACTTCTCCCATTCTTCCTCGGAGAACTTTCTTCTTGGCACATTATGGTAGGTCGAGTAATAATCTTGATCCCGTTGCTTCACCCGCTTGGAGAATGAGTAGCCCTTTCCTGCTATCATAGAATGAAACGAATGCTTTTGAATGTAAATGGAAGTGCGACGATCAAAGAATAAAATGGTCTTTGCAACCATGCAAGAACAAGAAGAACACACCAGCATTTGGTGACGGAGAATATGAAGTTGAGCCCCCCCAAAATGACATTCTCGTTCCCTTAGACGCGAAACTCAAGTTTTCAGCTTGCTTAGGTCTTCGCTGCCATAGACTTCCATTATTGTTTGACCTCCGGTGCCTAAAAGAAAAGCAGGGTTTTCAGTGCGTTAAACATAGTGTAATGCTAATAAAATTTTTGTGGGTCGATGCTCACCACTTCTTGGAATGAACGAGATAACTAAATGTGCAACAAGTAGCCAATGCAAGCAATCCCAAAGGAACATCAATAGTGCTCTATAAAGAAAAAGTACAGAAGATAAGTTTATGGTAAGAAAATAAAATGTTTAACGAATGATTGGATATGTGAAACAGCTGATAACATGAGAAAGATAATGAAAGTCTGGATTCCTTCTCTTTCCATTAACCAGATGGGGATGATAGATCAAAGCAGGATGTTTTTGTAGAATGTTAGACAAATATCATTTGTCTATATCAATAGAACTAAGAAGCTCAATTTTTACCAACCATAGATAATAATATATATGCCACTTTGAAGAAAAAGAATCATGTATAAACTTTTTCTGTGCAGTATTAAACAATAGAATTTATATTATTTAAAGAACTGTATGTGGACACAACAAACAGAAAAAGATTGAAATACTCATATAATTGTGAGTAAATTGTAAAATATTATGTTGGTGCCAACAAAACAATGTTTGTGCCTGACAATATATAAATGAAAGATAAATGAAAGAAACTATTTATTAGATGTTATTCACCCTCATGAATATAAAATACTGACAATATATACAGAAGGGAGATAATGAGAGCCTGCATTCCTTCTTTGACTTCTCAATTACCATTACCTAGATGAGATGATCGATCCAAGCAGGATGTTTGGTAAAATGTTAGACAAACATCATTTTTATAAATTTCGATACTATCATGAACTAAGAAGCTCACTTTTTACTAACCATAGATAATATATACGATATTTCGAAGAAAAGAACCATGTATAACTCTTTATAGTACAATACAAACAATAAAATTTATTGTTATTTAAAAGATGTGCACATCTGTGTACATCTGTGTACACAACAAGAACTTTCTGATCCCAACTTGATAACAAAGATGTGCACGTCTGTGTACACACAGATGTTCTTCAGGGTATAACACAAAATTTCTGGATTACCAATTGTACGGATTTGACCTTTGGTTAAACAAATAAGATTTACATCCGACTAAGCCAACAACTGAAGCCCTGTAGTCAACTCAAATTGAATATTTTTTGTTGCATATATTCAAAACTTCAATTTAAAATGGGTTGGTAATTTACTGCAAATGTCATAAAAAATGGATTATGAAACATCAGATATTACAGATTATTGTGCACTGCATTTTCACCTTTACTATTGCCAAATGGAAAAGCAAACTTTCAGACTATCATGAGGTTACAAATGGAATAGTCTGCTTACCAAAAGGAATCTTTTTGAGTCTAACATGAAGCATAAGGTGCATGAGTGATCATGACGAAAGTACCTGGAGAATAGATACTATGCCGATCAAACGCAATGTCCACTTCACAAATTGTGCAATGCCAGAATCCACACATCCATCTTCAGAAAGGACAAACTTTCGCGCAGACCAATAACCTAAAAATGTTCCTGCAAAGATTATTCCCCCCAGCAGAACAAGTGAAACCTGTGATGAAAAGAAGTAGATACAACTTTAAATAAAAAATTTTGGGGGACATGTTACAATAAATGAGGTTTAATAATAATGAAACTGGAAATCAAAAATCAATTCTGCCATCATAAATGTAGGCACAAACTACATATTCATTTCTAACACTCCAAAGATGCATGTGATTTTTGGATCATACAAATTTATTATGTTGCTCGGACATAGATAAAATATGTTGGATACAGTATGGATCCGAGTGTCTAATATGGTTTGTGCTCTGATTTAAGATACAAGGAAAAAGATAAAGATTTAAGAAAAAGATACAGAGCAAGGGCTGAAATGAATATATTATAAGATACACATTTAATATGTTAAGTAAATTCTAAACAAATATTATATGTGTATAATATTTATAATTATATTTTGAGATTAATGAGGATAGGGGTATCAAAGGTTTTGTATGATCACCAAATTAAGGATATTATTTTATTAAAACAACATATTATAAATCAGAAAAAGTTCAGTATCCTAAGGTATTCAAACCTTTTAATGATTATAGATAAAAAAAAAGTAAATTTAACATCTATCTAGAATTATCTAACAAGTAGGCTAAGACATATCCAATATTGATCAAGCATGCAGTTTGAAATATTTGTGACCAGTAGCACTAGAGTGAAACATAAGCAAAGAAAGCTTTTGCAAGGAGTCCGTAAATAAAATATCCAAATTATAAAAATGAAACTTCATGTAGAACATAATCATGAAAATGGATGCTTACGAGATTATATGATTCTTCACTGAAGCCACAACTAACAAGAAGAAAGGTGATCATCCTGGAGAAGTAATTTCTTATTAAAGAACCAAGACCCAGCTGCAAGAAAAAAACAAAGGTGAGCAGCGCTCCATCTGGAGAAGAATATTTGGAAATAAACAATGTTTTCTATGATTAAAAAAACTAGAGAATGAAGAAGCTAAATTGAACAATAACATGGAAATAAAATCCTCACCAAGGATCCATAGAATGCAATGTATATTATTTTTCGCCTGCTTATGGGAACTAACTTCATTGCCTGTATCATACATGTAGAAAACAATCAACATATATATGAACAGAAGTGTAAAAAAAAACAAAGCAAATCTCTAACTCCAACTAAGCCAAGATTCTTTGACAAACGTGAGAATCACAACTTCCATGTCGAACTAAAAGATCAAAATGCCTTTACAAGTAGATAGGAACATTCTAATTGAACCAAATGAGGGCTATAAAATTTAATTTGCTAACATAATGTACCCAATAAGGATCATAATGACCATGAGACATGCTCTTGATTGTGCATGCATAAGTGAAACGCCACTCTTGAAGAAGCACACAAATTAGAACATACAAGCATTATTTCCTTAAGTAGCTACACGAAACTAATCCAAGTATTTATCTTATAACTCTAGAGATGTCTAATAACCAAACTGGTAAAATCTTATCCAAATGTTTACTTCACTACCCATTCCACAGACATTACCTGGAAGAGAAGGATCAAGACAAGAAGAAAAACTCCTAAGATCATTGAACTACTGTAATAGAATGGCATCCAATTGCTGATGCCAGGCGCAATGAGAAAAATGAGTAATCCAAAACCAAGGCAACCCAGACGCCATAGATGAAACTCTGCATGTAGGAAAAAAAGGAAGTGCCTGAGAATTAATGTTATTTTATGAACAACTAGCAAAAACAAGTTCAAATGTAACAATAATTTACCTTCCTCAAGAGCAACCGAAAAGAAGGTAGAAGTTTCTTTATTAATTTTGACATCAATAAATCCACTCTCGTAGGGTGATATCATTGAATTCCGTTCATTCCTTAGAAAAGATTCCCACTGCGACACCTCACATTGACAAACAACAATAGAAGTATTCCTACAAAGGGGGGGAAAAGGAATGACTCAGTTTTTGAATTTTGATCGAGAAAGAAAAATCAGATAACCAACCTGTGGAAACAAAGTCGTATGTTTCTCCCAAGCCATCCGTCCGTGGAATCTGAAATTTTCAATGCCACGCGTACAGAACTGGCATAGGATTTGAGGTTCAACCTTGACATGCCGGTCAGCCGAACCCGATGACATGACTGTCCAGCATATGGTGGCGAGCCGAATTCCAAAACTGGATCTTCCAAATTAATTTCTGCAACAAATAGGAGATTTGTAGCTAAATAATGACACCAGGAAAAAGGCTGCTGCAATAACAAGCAGACTAATTCAAGAAAATGTAGCTCCACAGGTTTTTCATCTTCCTAAAACTATGTAATAGTCCGGCAAGAGAACAAAATGTCATAGGAGTAATTTCGCACACACGATAAACATCATTCCATTCGCTTATTACTTTGTCATGGCAATGTCGAAGAAACAGAACCAATTCCCCCCCAAAAAACACTATTTTATTGAGCATCCGCATGTAACATCTAGAGATTTTGGATGTTATTGCTGGTATCGTGGCAAATTAGAATATCAGCAAAAACAACAAACCATAGAACGCTTAAAATCGCTCAAAAGATATGCAGAACAAGGTGGGCATCGATCGGATCGTCCCGTCTCCAGAGTACGAAAACAACTTGAGGAAAGGGAGGAGACATACGTACCTAAGAGAGTCTCGCTCAAAGAGAGGATGAGTGGACAGGCAACTGGGAGAAGGAACAATAGGAGAAGAAGAGAGGACGGAAAGGCGGTGGTACGCTTCATTGCCATTTCTTCCAGAGCCTTTGTCCCCGCGTCGAGGTCATCTCGTTGGAAGCTTCGGCGAGGGGCGCTTATATACCCGTGAAGCACCGACTCGTGGGCTTGTCTCGGACACGACTCAGGTTACGTAGTTTTGGTGGGGTCCGCTACGGGTATGAATTTAGGTTTTTAGCAACGCCGTTCCTGCCTGATTAACCGACACCCGCTCGGATACCTGAGCCATCCATGGGGCCACAAGTGGGTCCCATGGGACGCGCTCAACAAGCGCTAGGGAGGTTTCCATGAAACGGTGTCGAGAACAGTAGACAATTTGACTTGCCTCTTTGTGATGCAATAGGGGGTTGGTAAATAATGAAGGTATAGAATCTCCGTAAGGAAACCCATAATATTAAAATAATAAATTAAAAGCGAGACAAAAATGTGATTGTATGTGCCAGAATTGTTCGATATTTCTAAACAAAACTATTTTATTGAAATAATAACTATTATTATAATTGGTATTTTTTGGTTATTATCATAACTATTTTATTAAAATGCTAATGACTCTAATTGATATGTGAACAAAAATATATTCTCTTTCATTTTCCTTTACAATTATATTTTAAGTCAGATTTCCGCTTCGATATATATATATATATATATATATATATATATCTCGTAGGATTTCTGGTGTTATTACTGTTGTATCTCAATTGATGGAAATGGATTCCTGACAAGTCTAAGATCAATTATTTGGGAACAAAAGGCTCGTTGCGGAAGGCAACAGAATCGTGGCTTGCGTCTTCTTCCTCATCCTGCGACTGCTGCAAGAGCTGCAGAGGCTCCAGATCTCTCGAGGCTGGGTCGGTGTCTCCCAGGTCCAAGCCCTCCGGGAAGCTTCCCACGTCTACCATGTCCCTTGACGCCGAGGAGTTGTTGGAATAGGCCGGTTGCAGCGCCGCCATGTGCTGCGCTCGATGCGATGCCTGAAGGACGCTCGCGACGGCCAACCGGGTGTTCAGCAGCTGCGAGTGCACCATCGACAGCTCCGCCTGCAGCGCCGCCACCTTGCGGTAGAATGCAAAGATCTTTATGCATGCATGAGATATGATCAGTTGCAGAAAAGACGGCAAGCACACCAGTGGCGTGGTGGAGCTTTCCCCTCCCCCCAATCCCATGGCGCATGCGCATGCAACGTGAACAGAGTGCCGTTCCTCTTACTTCACCCAGAGAGAGAGAGAGAGAGAGAGGACCTGTTGCTGCATTGCGAGAATGGTGGAGACGCAGCCGTAGACGGGGTCAGCGAGCCTGGCCTGCGCTTCGTAGCAGATGGTCACCACGGCGTCGTGCTGCCGCCCCGCGGGCACAATCGACAACAGCTTCGAAACGTTGCTGGCACCGAACACCTTGTGGACCGCCGCAAACCTCGCCGGCCCTTGCTCCGACGCGAAGTGCGCCGCGAACACGCATCCCGGCAGGCACTTGCGCCGCAGGAACTTGCAAGCCCCGCACGGCGACCCCGCCGCGCCCTCCCTCGGCGACCCCGGAGTTACGGCAGCCGCCCGCTTCCCGGCGTCGACTCTCGCTGCACGCCGGTTGGGCTTCTCACCACTCTCTTTCTCGCCGCCGCCATCAGGATCCATGGTGGTGCATCCGTCGAGGCCGGGGTTAAAGAAGAGCTGGGCGCCACGTTGAGCTCGTGAGGGAGGAGTGCTTGTGGGCGAGGCTTTCTAATGCAAAGTCTCGAAAAGATTATGTCAAGTAATATGATGCATGCATGCATGCCCCTATGGTGTGGGAAAGAAGGTTGGTGGTGTTCACTGTCATCACACAATGAGGGAGGGCAAATGATGTACCACTTCACGCCACAGGAGATGGCAAGTTCTTGCTTGCCGTATGAGAAATCCATTCTTGAATCATAATTAATTAGATGCATGCTGTAGTTTTCCACTAGTTAAATCAAGATCCTCTTTATGTGTTTGAGGGAAAAAATAATCTTTAAGTGTTTCAAGCAAAGAGAGAGAGAGAGAGAGAGTAGTGAGTAATATTTTACTATGGTTTGGATTAGGTCCACAGCAGAAGGCAAACTAGTTTTTGCTCAAGAGAAATGCTAATCTATCAAGCTATTTTTGGTGATAGGAAAAGAGGGAGTGGTTTTGAGGTGGTGGGAATATTATGGATAAGAATGCTTATATAATTATATTTTTCCTTATATCTATAATTTCTCCATATTGCACTCACACAACTAAAATTTGTACACACACAATACCTCAATCTCTATCTATTTATAGAGAATTAGAAGTCACATCTAAAGATTCATGAATCCTATAAAGGTGATCCTATTTAATACAACCTTTTAAGTAACAAGATATCAAATTGGTGCTTGGGTTTGATTAACCTCACTTGTCATTTTATCACATGTGATAAAAAAAATTAATTTTTTTAAGTAAACATAGACAATGAGTCTAAATTTAAATCTAATTTTCTAGTTTGATTGATTTTTTCCTTTAAAGCCAAAAATTTCAACCAAGAATTCATTTGCCTTTGTTGAGGGAGCAACAGCTTTTGACTATCTCTTGCAAAAGGAGGTTATATTTTGAATCAAATATTACAGAAGTTTTTTTATAATACTTGATAAATTGATTCTAATATTTCAACTCATATTATCAATAATATATAGAAATTTCTTTGAATCCGAAAACTAAAAAAACATAAAAAGACTTGTTATTATGGAAAATCATCTCAAAACGAAAATAATATCAATAAAAACTTATCTTGGTCAGATCTGCCAAGTCTTGGTCTAAGTAGTACCTTAACATACAACAACAAGCAAGTACTTAAACCATAACAATCTAACTAATCAAATGAATCAAACCGCTGTGCAGGTCTCAGTATCATGACTCTGCACTTAAAAGAGTGGTGTTAGCAGCTAAGCGCTATTGGTGATTGTGAAGGAAGCGAAGGTGAAAGCGGGGATTCTTCGCTGCTGTGAGAGTACCTCCTCCAAGATTCCTGGACTTGAGCAGCAAACTGCAAGTTCCAAAGCACATCCTCGATCGAGGGTCGTTGTGTTGGTTCCTTCGAAAGGCATCGTAAGCAGATCTCCATAACAGTCTTTAATGATTCATCGCAGCATGCATTAATGATCACTGGATCCACAAAGCTCATCCTTGCAATCCCATCGGCTGCTATGCTTTCTTGCAGCTAGAAACACAAACAGGTCAAGATGAACAGTTCTATACAAGAATCTGTCCAGTTTGATGATTAATTATGCTTGAAAGCATATAATGACTCGATCGTTACGTAAAGCTTGTACTCATTGCAATGTATCATTAGAGATTAAAAACTGCTCCATACCTGATTTTTCATTATGTTCACAACCTCGCTGTTGAATATGATTGGTCTTCCGGTTATAATTTCCAGTAAGATGACACCAAGATCATGTATGTCGATCTTATCCATGTACTTTGTTCTGCAAAGCAGTAATGTGGCATGTCAAAAATAGAAAGAAAAAAAGAAAAAAAAAAGAGGAGAAAAGGAGTTCTGCCGATTGCTTTGCTTTCTTTTATGCACTGCAACAATGAAATAATTCAAATATGTTTTACACATTTGTCTGATGCATTGAGGTAAGAAACTTCATGGGTTCACGAAAAAGCATAAACCCCACCAAGAAATGGACTATGGATTGCAAGTTTTATACTCATCAATCTTGTTTTTAGAACATAGATTACAGGCATGTATGTGGGAAAGCAACAGAATACAATGTGTACAGTAGAACAGAAAGAAAGAAATCAGGAAATACAAAAGGAAGGAAAAAATAGCTCTGCTGCATGCCTTCTTGTAGGCACCTCAATACAAATGTGTTTTGATGTATTTAGGTATGAGACTTCATGGCTCGTGAAAAAAGTAAAACCCCACCTAAAAATCATCTATGCACTGTAAATTCTATGCTCACTATTTTTTTAGAGAATACAGTACAGACCATAAAAAGGACAACCCAAATGCATGGAATCTAGAGAGGGTCAATGTACAGTTTTACCAAGGCTCACCATGACAAAGCATGTTCTTTTATTTTCTAATATACATAAATTTTTTTAGAAAGACAAAGGTTGGCTGTCTTGTAGTGCCCAACTCTATAGACATCAACTGATGAAGCAATGGAGTATGTTGCTCTGCTTTAGAGAGGAAGCAATTCCATGTGTCAAGGTCTGTTACTTCCCAATGGACAGGAGGGGGAGTCGGTCTGGACTCGAGGCCTATCATGTTTCAACACTTGTAAATGGAAAACCAAGTTTTAACACACTTGGCTAAGAATATTGGTGCCTACCATTAGAATACTGGGATAGTAGATTCCTAAGATTGATCACTGATACAGAACAATTTGATAAGTATAAATGGAGCACATTAACAAGTACTTGGAGTAGGAGATTAACATTTTATTTGAATGTCTTGAGCACTACAAGAAGCATGTTGCGCACCTTTCATTGGGTTCTCTTAACCCACTTGAAGAACTTCCAACCATCATCTGCTCAGATGCAAAATGATTTCTATCAAAACAAATATACAGAAATCATATTGATCAACTCCAACAGGAAGCAAAGGATGCAAAAGTTCTGTTATTACCTCACATTTCATATGCTCTGCTAGTATCGGCAGATTATAGCTGCTGATTTTTGCAACAAGGTGCTCATCCAAAAGAACATTTGTGATCTTCAGATCATTTGCAAACAAGCCAGGTACCATGCCTCCATGCAAAAATTGAATGCCCTTTACAACACCAATGGCAGCTGATATCCTCTGTGTCCATGTAAGCGTTTCTCCAGGAACTCCCTCTGTGGAAAATTTCGTGAGAGAGTGTGAGAGAGGGAGGACAATAGACATAATCAACAATTAAGGAAAAACATGTGTCTCAAGAAAAAAAGATATTAACATCAGAATTTGCCATATACCAATTGACACCTAACCTGAAATGTTGCTTCTTAATGTTCCATTTGAGACAAACTCAAAAACAATAAATAATCTGCTGACAGAGGAATCATCCAGGTAATATTCAAAGCCATGCCCGAGGGCACTGACTAAATGGTGATGCCTCAGCTTTGAAATCAGTTCAATGTGACGACTAAAATTCTGGGAGTTTAGGGCTTTCTTCAGTTTCAGGCATCTTATTGCCACCAGAGAACCATCTTGAAGTTTTCCTCTATACATCTGATGCCAAAAAATAAGGAATTCTCAAACAAACTGCAAATATTTTAGAAAGTCCATATAGCTGAAGCTTGAAATTGATGTCAAATTTATGGCTTGCATAAGCAAATACTTTCCACCCAAGAAATTAACACGATATGTTTTAGCATATCAAGTCTTTAGATTTTTAGAAGATAAAATTTGTTTCATTGGTTTATATTATAAAAAATATAGTGAGACTATCTACTTATTTGGTTTTAAACTTATAATAACATGGATACTGGAGTTGACAACAACTTATTTGGTTTTAAACTTAGAGGTATGATTGACCTGGATGTCAAGGAATACAAGACATACCTGACCATGAGAACCTTCTCCCATGAAACTAGATGTGTCAAAGTTATTTGTAGCAGCTTCAAGTTCCTCCAAGGAAAATGATCGATAAGGTGGAACACCAAGTTCTCCTAGCTTCATTGTTTGTAATATGTAACCTTTAAAGGAAAAAAACAATAATCATAGATAAGATGGAAATAATACAACTATATTAAATTAAATTAGTTCGTGACAACTAACAAGTAAAATTAAATTCACAAAACCACCAACTGCAACAATTTCATAATCACCGTCTTAACAGATGAGTACTGAGAGGCATAAGTATATTATCAACTTTCCAATGACACGATTAAGAGATGGAGGGAGATCATACTTGCATCGGGGAGTAACTGGGAAGAATACCCCACAGAGGCATGCTCTGCTAAACTCCTTTGTGATTTGTTCAGTGCCGGCTTCATAGTAGCCTTTTTAAGCGAAAAGAAAATTATCATCCCAAGAAAAATGCTTCCAAAAATGCCTCCCGTGATTCCAATCATAAGGGTTGCTTTAGCACCTGACACTTTATTTTCCTTGTGAGGTATTATTCCCACAGCCAATGCCTGATTCTGGCAAAATGATAATGGGTGTTGGCTGTGATCCTCGGTCGCAAAACAATTTGCCGAGTACAAAGTCACCTTGTTCTTAGAGTCTGAAATCAGGCACGTCGGCAAGTTCCCGGTCAGAAGATTTGACGACAAGTCCACATACTCAAGTTCACCATTGCACGACATACTTTGCAAAAGCATGCCAGTGAATCGGTTTCCAGAAATACTGAGATAATGAATAGATGGCAGAGACAACAAAGATGCTGGGAAGGGCCCAGTATATCTGTTGAAGGATATGTCCAAGTGTTCGAGCAAATAATAAGTATTTACTTCAGCTGGCAAGCCACCAGAAAACCTGTTCTTTCTCAACACAAGGGTGACAACCTTCCTCCCCAAGCTTGGAAACCGTGGTCCAAAGTAATTGTTCTCCAAATCCAGCACTTGAAGGTTTGATAAACTGTTGAGATCAGGCAATTCCCCTGACAAGCTATTGGAGGACAGCACAAGCACCCTGAGTGGCTTTAAGCTGCTAAAGGAATCCGGCAGAGGCCCACTCAAAGAATTGTTCTTTAAGCTCAAAACAGACAGGCGTGGAAGCTCACCTAACAAATCCGGAACACGTCCACTGAACATGTTATGATCAAGTATCAGAGTTTGGAGATTTGTCAGTCTGGAAACTTGTTTAGGAATTGCTCCATACAAATAGTTTGTGCTCATGTTGACTATCTCTAGAGAAGATAAACGAGAAATCTTCCCGGTCAGGGGACCCCACAAACCCAGGGATGTCAGAGAGAGGACCTTCAAATTAGGGAGCCGATACAGAGTAGCAAATAAGAGAGTCATAGAGAAGCTTCGAGGAAGAGGTGGAGCACTCTTATTGCCGGTTATATGCAATTGGGTTATGCTCTCTTCGTAGCAAATTATAGTTACATATGGGTTTGCTTCGTAGCTGCAGAAGTCTGTATCAACATTCCACCTACTTAAGATAGCTGGGTAGTTCAAGAGCCGCTTGATTCGGAGGAGGGACAAAACTTCTGCTGGTTGCAATTGGTATGCGCACGGAGTAAGGATCAAGATCATGGATAAGATGAGCAAACAACAAGGGTAGCTTCCAACAGCCATTTTTGGCAACAGAAATTTATCAGCTTGGATCGACTTCTGCCCTGATCTCACCAGAAGATTTTTCCTTTAGAAAAAATAGAACTGAAGAATTAGTTTTAGAGAGGAAGATGGAAGCTGATATCAACTCAAAAATAGTTCGACGAGCGGGTGGATACCTTCGACCTTACTGTAACACAGCTGCCAGCTGCATCAGCGAAGCTGGGAGCTCAAGCAAACCGGGAGCAATCAATGCCCAGGAAACGAATCAAGATTCCAACTTAGCAGCCTCGGTCTGCAACGGAGCAATGCAGCAAAAGAAGCAACGAAATAGCGGCAACAGGAAGACGGAACTACGGAAGCTCACTCCTTTCTCCCCTCCTTCAACTGGCGAGAACACCCGAAATCATTCAGTAACTGCACATATCGAGGAGACACGCGAAGATAAGAAGCTACAATGTAACACTCATAGGCATAAAATCTACGAAAGATTACTCCTTCCTCCTTTTCTTCAACGCCAAATCCACTAAGAAAAAGCTAAGCTCAATTTGAAAGCTCTAGGGTTATTGGAACCAGAACTCTTACATATAGTTACATTCTCTCTCTCTCACGGGTGTGCGGTGAACAGGAAAAGGCGAAGGGTATCCGTACATCGATCTGGCAAAAGCCGAAGGCGCATACCAACAAGACCCCGTGTCCCTTTTTGGCCACGACGGCAGGAGCCAAGCACCATCCGAGAGATCTCGCTTTCTCTTACTTTTAAGTTTCCTTCCGGCACCATTAAAGCCAAAGAGAAGCCAAAAGAGGAGCAATTGGCCAGCCTTCCCTCTCTCCCCCCCTTCCTCCCTCCGCCTTTAAACCTCCCTTTTTCTTCTTTCCTTGTTCGGGTCTTCGAAGGGGGAGATCGAAGCCCTCGAGTGTTTCTCTTTCTTTGGCTTCTCCTCCGCCTTACGCTTCCTCCGGCGCCGCTGCCAACGGTCGCAGGCTCTGTTAAGGCGCCACTTTTCACACATCTTGACGAAATTACCCATAATAAATACAAAACTGTCGTTCGAGACCTTCAGGTGAATCATGGCGTCTCTACCATCCGATGGTAGATTGGAGCCTTTCGACCGTCGATTTCAAGGCTCAAGAGGAGGTTATATTAGTCCTTCAGGTGAATCATGGCGTCTCGACCGTCCGATGACATAGACGAGCTTTCTGAACCGCCGATTACAATTCACATGATTTGACGAGATTACCTATGACAAATACCGAAATAACATGTCAGTCCATCAGATGAATCACGAGGTTTCGGCCGTCGGATGGCCGAGATGAGCTTTCTGGGCCGTCGATTGGGGCGAGTTCATGCATGGAGAAGCTTTCGTTTTCCCTGGTGGCGGGTGACACAAAGTTGACACAGACCATCAGAATCTCCCCAATTATTGTACTTCTCAGTTCCGAACGGGCCCCACTAACAAAAGCAAAGTGAGTGGACCGCCACAATTGGGGTATGCGTTGGGGCAACGGGACACGATAAGACTGGACGTCCATTCGCAATCAAACGTTTGTAAGTGGGACAATAGCAGTCACAACAGAGATATCTGACGTATGATGACTCGACTGCAACGTGGCATGCAGGCAGAGGACGAGAAGGGGTGGGGCCAGGACACAGCACTTCTCGATGCATGTCGGGATCGAGTACGCAGCACGCGTCGGTAAGAGACGAAGGATGTGATAGATCAAGATTAGCAAAATGGACGGTCCAGATCTGATGTCATGATGGAGAAGAAGAAGAAATAAATGATTTCATGTATGTGACAGAGGAGAGACCAAATTAATTCTATTGTGACATGCACAGAAATAAAAACAAAGAAGAAGAATAAGATTGTGGGTCTCACAATAAAGAAAGAAAAAGAAAGGAAAAATTAAGACTGTCACTGTGCGAATGAGTCAGTGGGATACATCTCCACATGACAGACACTGTCAAATGGCCATCTTTTGTGCAGATTCCTATGAACTATAAGCTACAACTGCTGCAAACCTTGTCATCTTCCACTGAGCTAATGGCACCAACTTCTAAGTAGCAGAAGAATCCATTGTTTGTCTCAGTTTAATCTCTGGGTTTCCACTTATCATGTCAAACACAGTGGTGATGTTTAGGAGGAAATCAACTCTATGTTACTCCTTTCTTTCTTTAAACTTCAGATCAAAACACAGTAGAAGGAAATTGAAGATGGAATGGATGGTTTTGATAGGATCCTTTGTAGTAAGACCCAAATCTCTCTCTCTCTCTCTCTCTCTCTCTCTCTCTCTCTCTCTCTCTCTCTCGCTGTGAAAAAGGAGGCTACACTCTCTTTTTGAACATGTGATTGGCAGTACATGAATATTTTTTTGAGTCATCAACTTGGCTGTTCACAGCAAGGGAGGAATCTCACCTCAGTCCCCCTCCGAAGATTGATGAGCTTCGAGACACAAATCCAAGTCATATATTATCTCCATCAATATAAAGCCAAAAGATGTCTTGGCATCTCAAAGAACCAATGGCATCTTTTCAAATCCCCCTTTAGAACTTTAGAACTTGGTGCAGAGGGAGCATGATGAGCAGCAAATCAGAACTAAAATCAGCAGTGAAGTCTAAATGTTGTAATCTTTTATTCATAGATATCAGTAAGGATTTTGATTGGATTGGGTCATTATTAATCCAACAGCAGATTTATATGTAAGCTCCTTTGTGTATTGCCAAAAACTGAATGAATTTGATCATTGCCACAACCCAGAATCATAAGTAAGATTAGGATTAACATGTGGAATTGAAATATTAACTGCTTTGTGTATTGCTCAAAGCTGAATGAATTTGACCATTGCCATAGCCCAGAATCAAAGAGAAAAAGTGAAGTCCATGACTAGGAGTTGAACAGATATTGATAATCCAGGCAGTACAAAACCATGGTGTTATCACCTTCAAAACAATTCCACCTTTGCACATCTTGACATCAGACTCACAAAACGGGAAAAAGAAACTTAAGAAGAAGAAAAGAAGTAAATGACATCACTGCTCCAAATGGGGAGTATTGACCTAAAACTGGTCAGAACTGTTGTCAACCATCTATAACCTGTGGGCCCAGGTACGCCACACCATCCATCTTCAAATACCTGGATACATCAATTTCTTCCAACCATCCATGGCAATGATCCTCCACTCCACCTTGGTCAGTATCACCATCTGGAAAAAGGTCGAAGGATTTCGTAAATGAAGGAACAGAAAGTATCAATTCCTGTCTAACTTAATCTTATGTGCTTCAAAATGTCATCCTTAATCAGTCTTGTAATATCGAACCAGATTAACAGATCAATTCCTGAAACAATGCTAATGTTTAGTGTCTACCATCTGGAAAGAAAACAACCAGCTACTTGAACACTCTGCATGGAGAGGTCGAATATCATGTTTGATTATAGGAAGCACCTGACAGAGAAGATACATATCATTATGGAGGGTACCTACTGCCTAATTTATGTTTTGTGATGCTTTTATCAACAACCTAATAGTGCATGTAATGAAACTAGCAAAGAACAACCTGCAAGCACATGGTGTGTAGAAGCTGCTGCTTACCTGAATATTTCCTGTAGGGATGATCCTGATAGTAAGTAATGTCACGGTCATCTTCCTTCGAGTAAGGGGGTCCTAGAACATCAAGCACAGCACATGGTGTGATGGCTGTGAAGGTATGGATGTTCCCTCCAGTTGTTGGATAAAGAATGGAGGTGTTGCAAGGAGCAGTGAACTCAGAATCAAGCACCAACTTTGCCAGTCTCACTGCAATTATAGCATGAGTTGTCAACCAGATGAAAGGTTCATAAGCCAATGGACTGAAAAGTTCAGAGAGACGTGATCATAAAGAAAAAGAGCTTACATTTAGCTGAGGGTGTAGAGAAACTTGATGTGGCAGGATCGAGCCAGTCGAAAGATTTTATATGCATTGATCCTACAAGTAGTTTGCTGAAAACAGTCATTCCGGGGTGGTCATGAAGAGGAATAACTGCTTTTGGGGGCAAGAAGAATATACACATCTGCAAAGAAACAGAATGTATTCATAAAATTTGTTCATGGAATCCATATTCACAATGCTACTATTATGTTCTATTCCACTATATGATCTACGCACAAAAAATTTCCTTCTGCAATTATTATTATTTTTTTGTTTGTTTGGGCATCATATTATGTTAGAATATCCAACAAATGCATCCAATCTAGAATGCACTTTTATTATTAAGTCTTACCGAAAAGTTATCACACTTGTATATGGTGGCATATGTGATCCTTGGAGTTCCTTTGGAAGAACTCTTGGACTTAAAGAAGAGTAAATCCGTGCTTAGCCCAACATCTTCTGGCCTCATTTTATCTGGAGATAAAATATCAGAAGGTCAAAACCTCGAGTATGAGCATCGACTTTTGCAAACAGAGCCAGTCACAACTAAGAGCAAAAGCAAATATGATGTCCTGCCTTGTCTATGAACTGCTCGACAAGAGTATGTTCAATGATGAGAATGAAGGTGACTTCCAAATTACTCAAAAATTGTGTAAGGAAGCTTATAAGCACTTGTGATAAAAAAATCCTAGTCTCATGTGATCAGCAGTAAGATTCTCATACGGACATGTGTTGTCAACAACTGACAGCACAAACAGGCTGTTCAACATCAACAAGTATAATAATCATATTTAAATGAATAGATATATGAGGACCAAGGTAATTAAGATATATGTGATCTCTGTTTCTTTTATAAGTAGAACAATTCAGTTAATGATCAGACATATGAGACCAAAGGATATTAAAGTTATTAATTATATTTAAATGGTTGGGAGATTCATGTCAGATACACTTAGATCTCTATTTCCTTAAATATGAGGATGACGTTAAGATGATATAAAAGCATTCGAGTAGAAGAACTCTAGTGCCACAATAGATAGACAACGAAAACAATTAAATAATCTTGGTAAGAATCTTAAGGATACAATAAAGCAACGTATACAGTTCAAATGATACCGCCTGGTATGGGTGGTATGTACCAATCCGACAGTAAATTGGTACGCGGACCACTCGCTATCAGACGATTTTTTTTATTTATAAATATATATATAAATAAATCTGTGACGTCGCCCCGTGTGAGGGAGAAGAGAGGCGACGTCACAGATATATATATATATATATATATATATATATATATATATATATATATATATATATATATATATATATAGGCAACGTCGTCTCGCTTTGGGAGAAGAGAGGTGATGATGCTTCGAAAAAAAAATTAAAATTTTTTACATATATATATATATATATATATATATATATATATATATATATATATATATATATATATATATATATATATATATATATAT